ATCCAGGGGCCTTGAGTCATCGCTCCGTCTCCGGCGGCGCGGCCTTCTGTGTGTATAAACACCCCTGTAGCGGGTGCTTTTGTGACCTGTATCAAAACATGTTCCTGCATCTCCAAAAGAGATTAACAGCATGAAGCGCGGGAGGCGCCTGAAGGGACGAACTCTTGTTTATTTGCGTAAACATTTTACCAGGGAGAGCTCTCAGCATTTAGACCCTTCCTTTGGGGGATGCGCCAGAGCCACCTGAGTGCGGCCATTTCTCCCTCACCTGCCAGCTACTCTGCAGTCCTTTCAGTGCTTGGAAGCTAAAGTGATGCATGTGGTCCTCCAACCTGCGAGGGTCTGCCCTGCCAGACACACTGGAACACTGGAACCTCCCCTCCGCGCAGTTAGAAGTAGACCTGCCTCCTCCAGTTTATCAGAAAGGGAATTCAGAGCTCAACTGAAGAGAATCTGTGTTTGCAAATGTGCAGTTTTGAGCCACTGTGGGTGGTGCGCCCCAGTCTTGCCACCCTACTGCCCGCCCCACAGCTTCTAGGGGGTCAGGCCCCACACTGCGCCTCCGTTCTCTGAGATCGGGCCAGACACTCAGGGAGCAGCCCCCAGCCCGTGACGGCCGGGAGTTGGGGGAACAGCACTGCAGTCCCTCCTCCGGCTCCAAGGGGGGGCCCGGGTTCCCAGAGGGGTCACTGCTTCCCCCTGCCCTGCTCCCTTCCTTCTTCTCCGTGTCCTGGGTCGAGGAGCCCTGGAGTCTTCAGGGCTCAGGCAGAAGTGTCCCTGGAATGGAAAGTATCTCGTGTGAGGCAAAGCCCCCGGCCTCCTCCACCCGCCTGCCCCTCCTGGCCACAGGGACCAGGACATCCGGAGCACTCTGTCTTTGTGCCGCTTGCTGCCCAGTGCACACTTTACCTTTGCAGCCGGCGGAGTGCCCTGGCCTGGCGGCTGTGGCTTCAGGTCCCGCTGCGGGCAGCGGGCTTGTTCCCCGCCGCCCCGGCCCCCTCCTTGGGCAGGCACCCCAGGGCTCTTCCAGTCCCCCAGATTTCTTTGGCCACTTTCTGAAACGACACGTCCCCTCTATACAGACTGCTGCCACGGCGGTTGGGGCTCAAGTCGAGCCTCTGCCCTGCGGCGGGCCGCTCGCCGCGTCTAAATGCCGTCTGGTTTCTCTCACTCTTCCACGGTCACCTTGAAAATACCTGCTGAGTCGCCAGATTGTTTTCGAGTTTGTTTCCCTTTTCCTGAAATCATCAACATCCTATCGTGCGAGAGCAGGAGCGAGGCCTCGTGGGCGGAACTGGGGCTCTGATGCTGGTGATGTCCTCTGAGAGCGAGAGGACATGCAAACGCACACACACGCATGTGCACACATGTGCGTGTGCAAGCGCGCGCGCACACAGGACACCACCTAGAAGCATACGGCGACGCACCACCCCGGGCCCGGGGAGCGAGGCGGGCCTCTAAGAGAAGGAGGGCTCGTGTGAGGGAAGGCTGCCCGGGTGGAGGTGTGGGCAGGGCAGGGTCGCCCGGGGGCCCTGGGGGGACAGGTGGAATGGCTGTTCAGAAAGCAGACGAGCGCCAGCCAGGGGAGGAGAGCGGACGTTTAAGGAGAAACTGGGTTCCACTTAATCCCCAAATCCCAGTTCACAAAGATGTGCCTTTGAACAAAATCTCAGTTTCATCACAGGGTGTTGAGCTCCAGCCACAGAAGAGTCAGAGCGGAGATGAAACGTGGCGGAGAGTGAGCGACAGTGAACACACACCTGCGTGCGTGTCCTGCTCCTAAACACGTGTGAGCCCCGTAATTCAGCCCTGCCGGGTGAGAGGTGACTGGGGTTAACGAGGAGGCTGAGTCGCCCACGCGACTCTCCGAGCTGCGAGGAGCCCGCGAGGGAACGCAGTGCGGTGCTGTGGGGGGCTGGGGCGGGGCCGGGACTCCCCAGCTCACTGCGTGGCAGCGGCCAGACCGCAGTGTCCACGGCACTTGGAGGGCACGTTGATGGGGTAGTTTCTGCTTCTGCTGCCTTCTCACACGCTGAGAAAGAAACCTGGTCAGCTTGGTCCTACCCAGAAACTCCGTGTGTACACAGAGGGGCCCAGGCCCCCGACGCCCATACGTTCGTCTGCTTCTAACGCAAAGCTAACCTCTGCTGCTTTGGGAGGGTTGGTGTCTCGGGATGGCATTCGAGTGCCGAACCCACACTGGGCTGCGCCTCCCTCTTGAGGTCTGTAAAGTGCTGTGTTTGGTCATGTCTTCCTGGTAGCCCGTGTCTGCCTGTGTGGTCCTGTGCTTGACTGTAAAGTTCGGTTTGTCTTTGAAAACATTTTTCCTTAGTTTCTTCCTTTAGTTCGGAAATGTGCAGGTGATAATGACGCGGGCCAGGGCTTCTGTTCAGGGCACAGACTGCCTTTCCTTCGGCGGTCAGGTGGAAATAGGGGCCACGACCAAGGACCCAGGCTCCCCGGCCCCATGTGAGGCTGGCTTCAGCCTCTGTGTACAAACCACAACCCCGATGCAGACGGCGCGGCCCCGGGACAGAGGCCGCCTCCCACCCCATCTCATCTCTCCTGTGTGCCACTTGAAATCTGCCAAAATGGGTACGTGCTTCGCCCATAGCATCACTGCAAACCTGACGGTGTAAAACTAACAATATGACACCTAAAAGCTGGAGGTGAGTGTCCCAAGGAGGTCAAAGGGGACGTGAGGATGCGGATTCACAGCGCTCCCACAGCAGCGGGCGAGTTTCAGAGGGGAGTTCAGGGCTGGCACCTCGGGTCGCAGGGACAGAAACGTATTTAAAGTGTAAAGGCGCAGCCGGGGGAGCGATGACAGCAGCAATGTAACTAGTTCGGTGGCGCGGCAGACAAGGTGGCGGTAAGAAGAAGGGAAGGTATGGTGCGTCCTCCGCTGTTGCTGGCAAGGAGCCAGAGGTACTGCTGAGAAATGAGTCAATCGCATGCACTGTAACTATTAGGAGTGAGTGCAGAGAACCAAAGACAGACGGAAACCTGCATGTGCCAAAAAGACAGATGGAAACCCGCGCGTGTGAAGACGCCAGCGAGTGAAACAGAAAGGAGCAGCAGGACCCCGCCGGCTGCAGGGAGCCGAGCATCCCCCGCGGAGCCCGACCGCAGCTGCAGCAGGCCTCGTCCCCCGGAAACACGTCCACATGTGGCCCACGCCCAGGACGCGTGGCCCAAAGTGCTGGCATCCAGCCCGGGGGGCCTGTCCCTTTGCTGGGAGACTGGGGTGGGCGCAGTGCCACTCAGTGGGAAGTGAAGTCTCTGGAGCCAGGCAGACACGTGGCTCAGCCCCCACTTTGCTGGCTGTTCTGTGTGACCTCATACTGTTGACCTCCCTGAGCCCCACTGCTCTGTGGCAGAGCGAGGAGACACGCTCCCTGTGGGCCCATTGGAGGCTCGGGGGACAAGGACTGTTAGGAGTTCAGCAGGAGGGGCTCTGCCATGGTGGCCGCACTGACCACACCGCCCTCATCTTCAGGATGTGAGGTGTCCAGGAGCCTCAGAAGCTTGGGATTGGGGTCCTGCCACGCCTGAACTCCAGACAGCCCCCCAGGATCAGGCAAGGGCGAGGGAAGGTCTGGGAGAAGAGTGGCCGGACACTGGTCAGTGGATGGGAAGGGACAGGTGTCTAGGAGGACAACCCAGGGTGGTTGGTCACTGTGGCAGGGAGAGTGCCCATCAGAGGCAGAGCAGCGACTGTGACAGGCACTCAAGGGCCCTTTCAGGGTCTCACAAACGCCCGTGGGTCATAGTCACTGTACACAGGTCAGAGCATGCCATCCCCCAGTTTGTGTGGTCAAAATAGTGACCAGCAGGGGTGGGGGCTTAATGCTGGGGTACACTCTGCAGTGTCTGACCCCTCGGCATTGTCCTCCTGGCCTCCCGTGTGGTGGGCTGGGATGAGGCTCCTAACACAGGTGGACAGATGACAGTGCAGGAGCCGGCTGATGCCAGGGAGCTCGGCCACCGATGGGGCCGGAGGACGTGTGCGCAGGAGGAGTGAGAAGGCAGAGGTGTCCCACTGGGAGCAGAGGAGGCCAAGGCGATGCCAGCCGTCTAGTCCCTGAGGCCCATCTCCGCAGGGGCCGTCCCTCCCCTGGAGACCCTGTGGGTCAGAGCTGGCGGAGGGCCGGCCTGGGGCCCCTGCGAGTCCTCGTTTAGCTGGGCAGTCTGCGGTCACTAACGGTGGGTGCCCCTGCCCCGCCACTTCTGGTTTTGGTCAGGGCGGGACTCAGCAGCTGAACCACAGCTGTCTGCGAGCCCAGAAGGCCGGGCAGGGTCTGCAAGTCCACCTACCTCATCAGACGGAGACGGGCGCCCCGGGGTCCTGGAGGGAGAGGCCTCGTCCTCAGTGACGTCTGATCAACTGTGAACCCTTGAAAATCGAGGGACTGTGAGAGCTGGTCAGAACTGGGCTCCTGAACCGAGGTGCAAGCTCCCTCCAGCTTCTCCGACAGCGGGAGGGCTGTTCCAGGTGGAGCCCCCGCTCAGAGCGCATGGCGGGGCCTGCAGGAGGGAGCCCGGTGTGCAGACAAGCAGGATGATGGGGAGGGAGGCTGAGTGCAGCCCGCGCCGGCCACTCCACTGGGGAGAACCTCCTAGCAGGGGGCACTCCGGGCAAGGACACCCTTGGGGGTGGGGGGCCAGAAGGCAGGGGGGCCACGGCCTCTGTGCTGCCCCGTCGGGAGCATCCGCGGCTCCCTGGGCCCACTGGGCACCGGAGGCCGCAGTGGAGATGGCTGTCTCCACGGCCAGCTCCACGGAGGGCGGAGCGGGACCCGTGTCGGGGCTCTAGCACTCGGAGGCCCTCCCTTCCTCGCCAGCTGCGGCTCCCCTCCCTGTGGCCCTGGTCTGCGTCTGGCGCTGGACCCGGAGAAGGAAACGGAAACACAGGGCTCTGGGGGGGTTCATGGGTGGTGGGACTGCAGGGCTCCCCTGGGGCAGAAGAACAGCTGACCAGTACCCTCGTGCTCCCTCAGGGTACCAGATCGCCTACCGCCTGGCCAGCAGCAGCCCCAACACCTTCACCACCGTGGAGGTCGGCGCCACCGTGAGGCAGTTCACGGCCACCGAGCTGGCCCCCGAGTCCGCCTACCTCTTCAGGCTGTCGGCCAAGACCAGGCAGGGCTGGGGGGAGCCCCTGGAGGCCACTGTCATCACCACTGAGAAGAGAGGTGAGACCCTGGGGCCCTGCATGCCTGTCCCCCAGTGGAGGAGGAGGGGCTGGGCTGGGCTGGCAGCCCGCGGGGTCCTGGGTCAGGCCCTGTGGCCTTCTGGTGGGCGGCTCGGGCACTGAGCGGTTGTTGAATGCCCGCTGAGCCGTGTCTGGAGCTGGACACACGGGCCTGCGCTTCTAGGTTGGAAGAAAGACATGCAGCTCAGAGAGGCCTTGTAACTGGCCCAGGGCTGCGCCGTCACCCTGTTTGAGGGCAAGCTCCCCGACAGCGGGCACCTGGCCGGTGATGCCCGAGCCGTGGCCCGCCTCGGGCACGTCTCAGCAGCCGTGGTTTCTACCCTCCAGCTCCAGGGGGCGCTGTCTCTCAGGGCACCTCCTCTGCCCCAAGCGCCAGCCGAGCTGACTGGGGTACCTTATCTAGTTAGTCCTCCCAAAGCCTGGGGAGAGATGGGAGGTGAGCCCCGATTCTGCAGAAGAGGATGCTGCTCCCTGCCCGGGACTCGCAGCTGCTGGGCCTCCACCTCCATAGGCTGCCCGGCCGACCTTCCGTGCCGTCTGCTGCTGGCTGCTCTCAGCCGGCTCCTTCCTCCAGGGGCACAGCCCTGGGTCTCTTACACAAGCGGCTGGGCTCCACCTGCATGGTCCTCCCCCTCCCTCTCTCTCTCTCTCTCTCTCTCTCTCTCTCTCTCTCTCTCTCTCTCTCTCTC